GCTGGCTGAGGAACTCTGGGAGTTGAAGTCCACAAGTCTTAAAGTTGCCAAGCTTGGAGACCACTGATTTAAAGGCTCCCGTTTTATTGAAAGGATAAGTGTCCTTTCCACTCTGCGCCTTTCATTTCCGCCCAGTAAAAAGGCTTCTCTCCCCCCCCCCCTTTGCAGGATGACGGCCGAGACAAACCTTTGAAGTCCTCCAAGGCTTTCTTCTCCCAGCTACAAGATCAAGTGAAAATGCAAATTAAGGAGGCGAAGAATATTCAGAAGAGACCAAAAAAGCAGGCGCTCTCTGCCCAGAAGCTAAAGCTATGATACATTATGCATGTCTTGTTTTGTATAAATTAAAATAAGGGTTGGATTCTTCTTCTTCTTATTATTTTCTTGATTTAAAACTCTGCTTTGAATTAAACTCCGTTGATAGGCACACATATCTCCCCTTTTCTCTCAAAGTCATCGCTGTACGCCACCCAAAAGGGTCACATTTAAAATGGCCATAATGCCTTCCTTTGGCCACAGTCAGCGGTCACCTCTGGCTACTTGTGATTCCAAGCATTTTTCAGTCAAAGGAGCAAAGGAATTAGGAGTGATGAGGTCCAGCACATAATGTTTCCCCTCCCAAATACCATGCCCCCCCTCACATGGCAGCCGAAGCAGAGGCTGACACCTCCGAGGCTCCTTCCAACTCCGTTATTCTGTACTCTGCAAAGGGTTTATTGTTTTTCCATGCGCTTGAATTCCTCCCGATGCCTAGGGCGATGGGTGGCTACTATATTTCCGAAGAGCAGCCAGGTGTATATTAAAAACAATCCTTTTGCAGGAATTTAATTGTTAGAAGAAGCCTTTCATCCTCGTCTGGTTAAAGCAGCTCTGTTTTCTCATCTTAACAGCATTAAAAGAAAAGCAAGATAGCTCAGGAATCTTGATCACTATTCAAAGTGCTTAATTCAGTTTGGAAAATTACCTTTCAGGCTTATCGTTTGCTACAATTATCCCTTTTAAAGCTGAAAAGAAGTCGTACGCCCTTAATGCCTTTTAGCAGAGCAGGGCAAGACAGCCGATCAAAAGATGCCATTTAGCACCTGAAATGAACAGTATTGGTTTAGTAAGGCATTAAATACTTTTTCCCCCCTTTTCTTTCTCTGGCTGCATAATTGTATGTTTTTTTGCATTTTGGGCTTTGGGGGGGAATCTGTCAAAGGCAATTAAACTCAGGCCGAATCTGGATTTGAATTGCTTTTCCAATTTTGGGCTAAAAGCAAGCAGACGCATTTCCAGCATATTAAGGAGGAAACGTAAGGCTGCTGTCTTTAAAAATGGAAAAGCCGATCTAATTGATGGGAGTGTTAAGATTGTGTCAGCTAATGGAAGCAGCAGGGGGGGAAAAATCAGGGAAGTGGTGGGATTTTTCTTGCACAGAAATGATTTGTGTGCTGCCAACGGAACCATCAAAAAAGCTCTCCAATGTAGGAACATCTGCATTTGTTCCAAAATCTTCCTTCCAGACCTGGCAGTTAGATGCTTCTGGGGAATTGAGCAGAATTTGAAGTCAAAATTGCCTCCAGATTCTGTCCTAAATGCAGGAAGTGGTTGGGGGGTCCTTACAGGAGGAGAGGGCAAGGGGAGAAGGCTTTGACTGCCAGTCTCCGGGAGTTAAACCTCACTTGGGAGCATTGTTCCCTTTTCAAAAACAAAAGGCTTCTTCGGGCAGTTAACCTGTGGAACTCATTGCCACAGGATATGGAAACAATCTGGTTTAGGAACTACAGCAACTTGGCCACTTTTAAGATGAGTGGATGCCATCATTCCCCAATCATCGTGCATCTTGTTCATCCATCTAAAAGCATGCTGGCTAGGGGATGCTGGGAGTCGAAGCCCACCGAACCTTCCCAATTTGAAAAATACACCAAAACTGGAGAGCTTTGCAGATGAGAGAGATTGCAAAATAAGCAGGCAAGGATTTAGTTTATGTATCCAGAGTTAAAAAACAAAACAAAAAACTGGTTGCATTTCAGGCCTGGAAGGAAGGAAGGGGGGGGGAAGCTACTTTTACTGAAATTGGGGGATTGGACTCTTAAATATGAAGAAAAAAAGGCTGCACAAAATTTGCAGCTGTCATTTCTGGCTACCGATCGATCGCTCCAGCATCGATCTTGCATGCCTGGATCCGGGATGGATTGCAACGGCCTGGCGGCGAGATGGAACGTTGTGCAGGCAAAGAAGGCTTCCCCGGCACGCGGGAACTCATCGCACCGCGCATGCGCAGCCCGTGTGAGCCCCCTGCAATTTTTTTGAATGAATTTTACCGCTTAGCTGAGTCCGGGGCTCGTTTGAATCGCGCCCCTCTGCCCCCCCCCCTGCATTACACCCCCCGCGCTGCTGTTTTCACCCGGGAAGGACGCCTTTTCCACCAATTTCCACATTTTTTATTATTGCTTTTGCAAAATGCAATAAGGGATCCCTTCCAGGATGGAGCAGCAGGTACTGCGGACTAGATGCATGAGAAGGAGGAAGGGTTTTTAAACTGCTCATTCTGAACTGGCAGCGGGGTCTCTGCGGCTTATAGTTTTGCTTCGCTTCGCCTTTGCCCCTCTGGTGGGCTTTGGGCTCCAGCTCAGAGTAAAGGACAATTTCCATGTTCAATAGTTGGTGTAAAATGAAAGCTTGGAGATCTCAGCGGTGCAAGCTGAGATGGCAGCAGCCCCCCTTCAGCTGCGGAGAGCATCGCTCCGCGATATTTTGGGCATAAGCAGAATTGTTATTCTCAGTGGCAGAGTTTTAATGCAGGAGGCCCTGGGGAAACTTCTGCTTGTGCTAGCACCTTATATTGGGCGTTAGGGAAGCACAGAGGCATTGCTTTTAGAAGTGGCTGTCATGGAAAGAAAAGGGAAAAGACAGAAAGACAAACATAGAAATGTAAATAAATAGAATATGTATGTACAGGTATAAATGTGGGAGATAAAAGGAAAATATAGAGACAACTATGTAAAGCTAGATAGCTGGATGATAAATGATAGTAAGATATAGATTATTGATAGATGATAGAATAGATAGATTATAGATAGATGGGTGGATGGATGAATAGATGATAGACAAAGGTGATATACAAGATAGACACAGACAGACAGACAGAAGATAGACTAGGATAGATAGATAGATAGATAGATAGATAGATAGATAGATAGATAGATAGATAGATAGATAGATAGATAGATAGATAGATAGATAGAT